CCTATTTCCTGGTCCTCCCCCGTCACTCAGTGGAAGTTAAAAAACTCGGATCGAAGAGCCGTTCCAAGCAATTTAATTTCACCACACAATCCCTTCATAGAATCGTGTTCATCTCATTAAACATATCTGGGACAAAGCTCCTCTAGGCTCCCATGCATTTAAAAATATTTCTAATTTGTCCACTTATCACATGATATTATCATTTTCTCTCTAAATGTCTCCTTCTTGTACTTAATTCTCATATCTTTGAAGGCAACATCATTTGATATGATTATATTAAATGCAGGCTTAAATCTATACTATGAAAGTAGTAATAAAAAAAAAAAGAAAATAGTAATGACTAGCTAGAGTAAGGCAGGTGTGCATAAGCTGGCCAAATCCATGGTGTGAATGTATCTATAGGTATAAAATTACACATAAGAAAGGTGGTTGCAAAAAAAAGAAAGGTGGTTGCAAAAACTAGGCATGTTGGGACACTATTTTTGAAAAGGAATAATAAATCACACCAAACCATATTTACAGATTGAGTGGGTTATTAATTTTGCAGCCAACATCCCTAATTTTAAAATCATTTTTATTTGGTGAAACTGTGCACCGTGAATGCTGTGACAAATAAACTTGCATTATTTTTATTGATTTCAGAAGTTGACTTGAAGTTATGCAGAATAAACAGGCAACTTGGGAGTTTAATTTAGGAATTTAATGAATGCCTTGTTTCTGGAAGAGTACAAGGCAAGAATGAATGGCCAATCACCTCAGTGTTTTATACCTGGACTTTAGGTCTAAACTGGAAGATAAATTGTATCCTTTTATATACAAGCATACCGTGTTTTATTGAGCTTTGCTCTCTGGTGCTTTGCAGATACTGTTATTTATTTTTTATATTTGCCTTTGTTTTTTGCAAATTGAAAGTTTGTGGCACCCCTATGTCTAACAAGTCTATCAGAGTCATTTTTTTCATCAGCATCTGCTCACTTCATGTGTCTGTGTCACATTTTGATCATTCTCACAACAGCTGAAACTTTTTATTGTACTACGATTTTCACACGTAATAGACTGCGGCAAAGCATAACTTTTGTATGCACTGAAAAAAAGCTAACTCGATTTATTGCCTTTCTTGCTGTGCTCTGAAGCTGAACCTTCAATATCTTGGAGCTATTGACTCTGTTGCTGAATGATGGTTGTAGACTCAGAAGGTCAGGTAGGGCAATTGTTAAGTTCTTGGCTGCTAACTAAAAATTGTTGCTTTGAACCTACCTGAAGCTTCTAAGGGAGAAAGACTGCTTCCAAATGATTCCAGCAAAGAAAATCTTATAAGACAGTTCTACTCTGTGTCAAATGAATGCGCAGGAAGTTGGCAATGATTTGTACATTACTATGTGAAACCAAGGAGCAATATAGAGGAACAAGCTCCGATGTAGAGACAAACATACCTGAATATGAATCGTATATCCCATAGCAAGATGAACTTATACAATTTAGTTAGTCTCTTTGATCATCCATTTTTTCATCTGTATAATAGTCATCTTAAGATCTATTTTGCATGACAGAGACTAAGGTATATGTAGTAGATGGCACCTAAGGTGCCCTGATGGTGCAGGGCTTAGCAAAAGTTCAATGGTTGGAACCCGACCTCCACTCCACATAAGGAAAATGTGGCCATCTACTTCTGCGAAGGCTAGGGCCTTAGGAAACCCATAGTTAGATAGTTCTATTCTGCCCGTTAGGATTTCTCTGAGTCATAATCCAACAGCAATGGGTTTGGTTTACAAATATAAGCATTTCACATGTTAGCTAGTATGATTATAATACGGAAGAACTGATTTGGGCATAAGTTTGAAATTGGCTTAAGGGACTTCTAAGGACATTTTGAGAACAAAAATTCTATGATGGTAATGGTATGACTCCATGGCAGACTAAAAACAAACAGGAAATCCTGACACTTTATCACAACACCATTTGCTACATTAGTCCAAGCTTCACATTTCAACTTCCGCATGGAGTTTGGTGAGATGTTCAGCTGAAATTCTCTCCCCAGTTGCATTTCATATTTTATTATGGCGTCATCTTTTTGAAAAAGTCTGGTCATGTGGATTCTCTCTTATTACCTCCAAATAAGAACATGCTTTCATTAACTGCAATTAGATCCTCATTCACTGCTTTGGCATGCTCTGAACTGTCTCCTCCACAGGGCTCGGGGCCTGTTAGATGGTGCTCAGTTGGAGATTGGTGGCATTGAGTTGCTGCCAAGGCTGGCAAACCTTTAAGATGGCATCTGGTGACCTTTTTGCTGAGCCCCCCTGGGTCTTCCATTTGAATTTTTATGTTCTCAGCAGGGGTGTAATCCAAATCAAATGTGAGATCTGGTGAGTCTGAGATGCAGGGGAGGCAGGGCCAACAGGGAACCCCTACATTGCTTTGGGCAGAGGAAGCTACTAGAAGCCCTTGCAATGTAACTCTCTAACCCTGAAACTCTGGGTCCTAAATAGAGGGTGGCACTGAATGGCTGGTTTGCAAGAGGAGCCCAGTGTGAGAGAAGAAACAATTGGACAGTTTTCTCTGCGTTTATTTATCATCTGGCAACACAGTAATCCTCTTAATTGCTCTCGTTCGTGGATGACACTAAACTCATGGAGGCATCTGTGGGTGCAGCAGCTGAGGTCAAAAGTGCCAAGTCCGGTGCTAGCTGTGTCTTGCTTCCAACATAGTCTATTTTTCTCTCTTTTGAAATGGCAGATTTCTATTCTCAGTTATGTAGGTAGAGAGCACACCAACATAGAAAAAAGAACTGTGAGTTTGTGAACAACTTAACAACCAATGTGTGTTGACGAATTGTTTGTGCTAAAGACAGACACATGCCGTTTCTCAGCTGGGGAGTCATTTTCATGATAATTTTTAAAGTGCTATGTACTTTTTTTTAGCAGCTTTTACTTTGAACAGATTTAACAGGCTATTTTTGGTTTTACATCTACTGGGGCTGTTTTAACAGACAGGCAGACACGCGGATACATTTCGCATTTCCTAGGCAATTCTGTCCTGAGACTGCCCACAAAAAGATTGTTTTTTAATCACTGTGGTAAATATATGTGTAATGTAACATTTGCCATCTCAATATCCTTCACATGAATCATTCAATGACACTGTGCTGTCATGGTGTGTAGCTGTCATGATTATCCACCTTATAGGGCATCTGGGTCCTTGCGTTGCTTATCATCCTTTACTGCTAACTGAAAGGTGGGAGGTTTGAGTCCATCCAGAGGTACCTTGAAGAAAAGTCTAGCAACATACTTAAAAAAAACAAAACAAAGTTCCCACTGGCCACCCTATGGAATACAGTCTTGGTACTTGGGTGCACTTTAGGTCACCATGAGCTGGAATCAGGTTAACTTTTATTTGTATATTTATAAATATAACACAATGTTTGCCAAGCCAACAGTTTCCATTGTACAATTTTGTGCTGTCAATTCCATTTATCAAGCGTGCATCCATCAGAGAAGTCTTTGTTTCTGTAAACCTAATAGCACCCTTGTGCTCTCCTCCAGAACAAGTGAACTCCCTCCCGGAAATCCCATCTGTCTTTGTCAAGCCTCCACTTCTTCCCTCTCTTATATCCTCTCCTTTTCTCCAGCTCGGTGTCACCATTGGGATGGAAATGTATGTAAGACCCTCATATCTTCAGTCATAATAATAATTAAGCCCTCTCTGAAATTTCTCATCATGCTCCAGTCATTTAATTTCTCTCTTCTTGCAGCCAAACTTCCTCACTTTGTACTGCCTTTTCTGTATACATCTGTGTCACTTTCTTGTTTTCTATTCTTTTCTGAACCATCATCAGTCTAAACCTCTGTTTCCTGAAGTGGGTGATACTGCCCCTTGGGGGGTTCTGGAACAAGCGGGGCGGGGGCGCAGCCAAAGCAGATACTCAATTCTTTATCCTGGATTATGGGCTCTAGTCTAAAAGGTTTCAATTGCCAGGGGGACTGAGTTCCTTTTCTTCTAGAAATGGGGTGGTAGGCCAAATTAGTTTAGGGACCAATGGTCTCTAGACGCTTTTTCCACTATAAGTCCCCTTACCTAGATGTCTAACACTGTCCTATGGCCAGATCCAGTGGACACTTTCCAGAACTTACCTTTCTCAACAGCACAAGGCGTCATTGACCCTGCTTTCTCTCTGAAAACATACACTTTGTTTGCTTCCACGCAAAGACCTGCTCTCCTGTTTGTTTGTTTGCTTGTTTGTTTCTTCCTGTTTCCTTGGCCTTTTCTCCTCAGTCTGATATCTCTCATCTATCTGATATTAGGACATGTCTTCCCATTGCAAATCAATTGTTCCTCAAGGATCATTCCTAGGTATTGTCTTCTTATTTTGAAACTACCAACTGCGTTACTCTAAAATATATACATTAAATCAGTGCCTATAGTTTGCCCTTATTCAAATCAATAGTCATAAGATATGAGAAGGATTTTTTTCTGTTTTCTTCTTATTTCAAATTAAACCTAAATGAAAGAAGGCTAAGTGGAAAAGCAATCTTAAGGCGAGCCGACTGGGGAGGAACGTTGGGGAACTGTGGCTGGCAGTCTGCTCAACTTTCTTCCTTTTCCACTTGGAAAGGAGAAAAATTATATTTGAACAGACTGAAAATGCTCGTTAGAGTTGTTATTAAGAAATTTTATAGCTGCTAAAGTCTATTGTTTATACACTGCCCATTATTTACAATAAGAGCTTTGGAACAGGAGACTAGATTGTCTTCATGATTATGGGGAAGAGGGAAAGGAAAGGATAAAGCCTGAGAAATAATAACATGGCCTCCCCATGGTAAATGATCCACAGACAAATAATGAATCTTTACTTCTCCATCCCACCAGGCGACCCATGCGGAGACACCCACGCTGTTACCACTGCCCACACCACCAGGCTAACACTTCCCTTTTCTTGGGCCAGCTCAGGGTAAGCCTGGTCTGCCCTGTCAGTAACAGAATGCAAACTTGTTTCTTCACAGAAAGGAAAATGAAAATGTGAGCAACACTCAAACAGCACCACAGAAACCAGTGACTGGTGATGCCAAGCAGACGAACAGAGAGTCCCCTGGAACCATGACCTCGGGTGCTCAGCAAGCCAACTGTAACTCTGATGATGTGCAAGAGAACAAGGTCCCAGAGAGCAAGCAGAAACTCGTCCTAATAGGAGAACCCAAGAGCCGATTCCTGGGCAGCAAAGTGAGTGGCAAGAACTTCCTGAGCTCTTTCTTGACCATAATTGGGTGGGAAAATGCAATTAAGAAAGAAAGAAAGGCTCACACAAACACATACTTTTATAAATGATAGTGAACATATTGCAATGGCAAATAGAAATGACACTCATTGGGTTTCCAATCTAAAAATAAATTTTGGGGTAATTGTGTGTATTGCATCTTTTTGTTAACGCTCAATTCAGTTGATCAGTTCTTTCTGCCAGTGGCTACTTCATGATAGAAAAATAACTCAACGATACAGTGAGATGTCTCTATGCATGCAAATTTGGAGTGAGTTTTTAAGGTGTTTGTCTACTTAACATTCAGGAAGAAATAATTCATTTTCAAAATGTAATGCAACCAGGTCTCCATATTAGAAATATTTTGCCTTCAACTCTCTTGATAGAAATGCTCATGTATATCAACAATTCTTATTAAGAATCATCCAAACAATCTACAACAAACTAATTTAATAATGATGAATCTAGTGATTAGTACTTTTAAATTAAAAAGTCAGAATTGCTACAATGGAAAACTAGATCCAAATCAAAACAAAACTAATGATTCATTAATAACAAAGTACCATATCCAAAAATTGCTGAAATTGCAATTAAACGGATACATAGAGTAGGAGTTTTGCAGTGTTGCCAAGCATTAAGTGACAGCCAGATATTTTAGCAGAATATTGAATTAGAGTCTGCAGTAAACTGTAACATAACTATTTTTAGTTTATGATTTTAATAGCCATTACTAAATCACTCAGATACTATCTAGTCTTTAGTCATATGAGAAAATGAGAGTCTATAAATTTGTGATCTTGAGCTCACAGCTCAAACTGCACTTTGTAAGATCTAGTTTACACTGAGGTTTCAAATGATCAGAGGGTCTCTCCCTAAGTTAGTGATACAGCCTACCCTGGAACTAGGCCTCTTAACCCACTAGGGTTCTTCTGACTTCTCATAATGAATGCTTGATTTTACAGTTTGGTTGGAGAGTAGGAATGTCTAAAAAGTCTGAGTTTTTCCTTAACTATGACCCTCATATTACATAATTTTGTTGCACTGGTAATAAGATTATAAGTATAAACTATTTTATTATTAACTAACTGCTTTTAGATAAGTACCATCATTTACTCCTTGGAATAATCCCTGTGAGGTAGGTGGTGTTATAATTTCCATTACCATATGACAGATGATTAGATTTAAAACTGCTCAAAAGAATGGGAAGAAGATGCTTACCCTACTTTAATTTCTTTCTTTTTTGTTTACTTATTGATATTTATTGGTATTTTTAATTATAAAATAATATATAAACTTGTAGAAATTTTAGAAAATGGAAGCGAATATAAAAAAGAAAGCAGTAAAATCCCACCAAAGAGAATCGCTGTTAACATAGTGGTTGACTTTCTTCCTTTCTTTTCATCATGTATAGACATATCGAATGAGGAGCCCTAGGTACAAGGGTAAGACAAAAAGTATTGCTGCAATGCATGCAAAACTTTAAAGAAGATAAAAATATGAAGCCATCATAGAATCTACCTACAGATTTCTGAAACCAGTGTTTCCATCTCCTTTCCCAGAAGAATGTCATGCCTTTCTATTTATAGCACGTTGAAAGGGCAGCATGGGCATCCTTGAGGGACAATAATCCTGTTACTGCTGAATGTTCTTTGAGTTTGGGAAGCAAACAAATCTAAAGTGGCAAAATCAAGGTTGCGGGCAAGATCTACAAAGCTGTGGAGTAGGTGCTATAAGGCTTCCCAGCAACATTCTCAGAGGACAGCCCTTGCTACTTTCAAAAATGGGCAGGAGCATCATGATGTGCAAACGCACTGCCGTTGAGTCCATTCTGACCCACAGTGACTCTATAGGGCATGGCAGAACGAGCCCTGTGGGTTTCTGAGACTGGACACTTGGCAGGAGTAGAAAGCCTTGTATTTCTCCTGCACATTTGCTGGTAGTTTCAAACTGCTGGACCTCATACCTGATGACCTATTAGCCCAAGGAGTAACCACATGGTGGGGGTGGGAAGGGTGGGGTGGAATAATTCCTTGGTTCTCCTTTCCTCATCTTTTTGTTTTCGCATCAATGCAGATTTCCATTTTCTTCAAATTTCGTCCTAATAAGCATCATGATCTTCCTGTGTCCTTTTAGAAAACCTATCAAGATTATCTTTGGAATCAGTCACATAACCTTCTGAGTTTTTCCCTTAAGTTTGACCCTTCCTCAAGTTTAACTCAGAAGTCATTGTTCTGCTTGAAATTGTCTACAATCAAAAGCTGATTTCAGAGACATATCTAAGCATGCTTTGTTGGGAATAAAACTGCAGACACCTATGGACTATGAACTATGAAGTAACAATACTTTTTTTTTTAACTTATTCTAGTATATTTATTTTGTACCCTGTTCCATTCACTTCATATTAGGAAACTCTACCACCAGCCTTGGCATTAGAAATGTCATTCTAAGCATCATCATTAATGGTTTTATGAACCAACCCTCAGAGTTAACACTTAAATAGAATTTACCATATGCCAGAGAATCCCTGGTGGCATAGTGGGTTATGTGTTGGGCTGCTAACCACAAGGTCATTAGTTCAAAACCACCATCCACTCCATGAGAGAAAGATGAAGCTTTGTCCTCTCATAAGGAGTTATAGTTTCAGAAACATACAGGGACAGTTGTACCTTGTGCTTCAGGGTTACTGTTATTGGGGAAAGACTCTAAGGCAGGGCATTTTTCAGTTTCCTGTATGTCAGGGCAAGGCTTTCTACTCATGAAAACAGTTACAATCTTGGAAACCCCACAGGGCTGTTCTACTGTGTCTTATAGAGTAAAAGTGATGTGGACATGTTTCGATAGCAGTGAGTCTAGTTTTGGTTTTTGAGGCATTTTTCAAAGCACTTTATGATTGTACTACTCTCCAAAATCTAGTGAACTTAGAAGATTTTTTAATCTCCTGTTTATGGACAAAGGTACTGAGAAACAGAGAAGTCAACTACCTCACTCAGGTAATAAGGCTGGGACGTGTTAGAGAACCAGAGCTGAAACCTAGAATCTAAGTCCTAAATCACCTGTTTCCATTCCTTTATTTGGCTATACCATGGCTCATATAAGCTTATTTACCAAATTTTTTTTCTTATAGATAGAAAACTATTTCTTCACACACTTTCAACCACATCAGGCTCCCCTTTCCTGCCATAGACTTTTTCATTATGACAGCATTTTCCCCATTCATTATAATGGATAGCAGATTCATTAGATAAGGTGTTCTTAGACCTCCATCACAGAGCTAGCTCTGTGATTCTAGAGAAAGCTGATTTGTCCCTCCCCGCCAAAACCTCAACAGAGTTTCTTATGAGATGCTCAGTGGGACTAACACCCAGCCACGAAACACCGGAAAGCCTTGTGGAAGGTGGGGGACCAGCTAATTGGTTCTGTCTGCTGGGTGTATGGTGCCTGCTTGCCAGATGGCAACCACAATTGCATGGTACAGAGACCCTCATTACCACCTTGACTAAGTGGTAAATGGAATTCTGCTGCAGTTAAAAGAAGAAAGGCATCCGAGCTCCTTCTAGATCCTTATCCCTTGCACATGCTGTACATGAAAGTAGACTTCCTGCCTGGATGTCACAGGCAATCGCCCCTGTCTGCATTTGCTCCACAAAGGAGGTTGCTGATAAAGCTAGTTTGAGGCTGGTGTGTGTAACCCTCTTTCAATTGACAGAAAAAAATTGAAGAGCATCATTTGTAGGAAGTAAGTAAAACTGAAAGTGTTAGGTTAATCAACCATTTCATTATGTAAGAATGATAAGAGATATTAGAAATCAATAAGCACAAACTTTGAAAAATGAAGAATGTGAGGATGAGAGAGCTGAAGTGATTCGTCCATGGTCCCACACACCAACATACAAATCACCCTCCTCTTCTGAGTACTAGCCCTACAATCTTTTTGCTTCTCAAATATACTCCTTAAGGGTAGATTCTTGGGGCAAACTGTTAATATTGTTTTTCAGAGCCCTCAGCTCTGTAGAAAATAAAAATGAATGTTTGACTAGCAGCAAACTCAGTAGCATATTTTCAAAAATAGAGTGTGCTTTTTGCATCTGGCAGCATGAGAATGAATATGTTAGTGCCTTAATTTTAATCACTATCACAGTCGATTGACACAGTGCGTTCTTTTCAAAGCCTTTCAGTCTGCTGTACCTTGCTGTTCTCCATAGTAGCCCTGGGAGGGAAATGGAGGCAAGCGATGTTATCCCCACTGAACAGATGAATAGACAGTTTCAACTGCATTTCTGCTTGATGTGCCTGACAATTCAGATTCCACTTGTTCAAAGCGCCACTCTTGCTCTTTCTCTTCTTAATATAGCCTGTGTCTCACGGTCGCCCCACCACTCTCCCAGGTGCATCAGAAAGAAAACTTTCCCTTCTTAATTCTAATATCCAACCAATCATTGAGCGCTTCACATTTTACCTCCTTTAGGGGTTTCAAAAATGTTCTCTTTGTGAGATCAATTTTTGGCGTAACTACACGATGGGCTGCCTAGTGAAACTGATGATAACTCTAAGAAAACAGCCATGTAAAGCCCCCGGAAAAGATCTGATAGGTGAAGAGTAGATGAAGAAGCAGCTATTCAAGAACACCTCTGGGAATTCAGTAAGGAAGATGAGAATCAGTGGTATTTGAACTAAACTGATCCCTTTTGTCCCTGCTCCCAGTTCAGTGGGGACTCCAGGTAGAGTCTTTTTATTTTTTCTTGAAACAAAGCTGCTTTATTAGGACCAGATGGGTTTCCTTATAAATACAGATGTCATGTTTTGCAATTACTCAGGCAGATGTTATCACATGTGGCATGGAAGGTCACCTACATCTTCTAACTAGTCTGTGAAGAAAACACAGAGGAGTAATGTAAAACCAACGGAAGGTCTTGGACTTTGCTTTGTTTCCCCCTTTCTTTTTAATCATCTTATTGGAAGCATGGAC